ATGTGGGTGCCCACCACTCAGACTCTGCGTGGCAAGGCCCGGGGAAAGCCAGCCCGGGGCTGGGCACTGCTCAGGGGCTCCTGGGATTTCTGTGTGTTTGGAAGCCTGTTTTTGTTGTGGAGAGGACGGAAGGCAGGAGGGGCTGGCGGTGCCCGAGGCCAGGGCTGGGTGAAGGAGAACATCCTCGATGGATGAGCAGCAGGGGCCTAACGAGGCTCTGGGCAGCTGAGGGCCATGGCGCCTCAGGATGCCCTGCACTGCCCAGTGCTAGGGGGTCTTGCGGTGCAGGGGGTGGGCAGGCCCTGGGCAGCTCCCACCACCCAGGTGCGAGTGGCTGCAGACCTGGCCCCTGAGGGTGGGAGGCCTGCATGTGCCGAAGCTGCCATGCGGTTTGGCCCCCAGAAGGGCTCCTGAGTGTAGGGAGTTGAGCCCCGCAGGCCTGGCGATGCCTCCCCTCCTTCCACTGCCAAGCCTCGCTTCCTGCTGGTGTCATGCTCTGGGGCCGGGCAGCAGCTGAGAAGCTGCCCCTACAGGGAGGGGCCGAGGGCTGGGTCAGTCTGTCCCAAGGAGTGGACAGCGGGGAAGGCTTGGCCTGGGAGGCCCTGTGGACAGCAGACCTGAGGCCATGAGGTCCCGGGGCCGCCCCCCCTCCTGCTCTGGGTGTCTTCTGAGAAGGCGGCAAAAGGCTGCAGGCGCCAGAGGGGACGGCGTGGGGCTGCCCTGAGCTTCCTGGCTGTGTGGCAGGTGGAGGAAGCTCTCTGGGCCATAAGGGTCTGGCCTGCCTGCCCTGGGGCACCAGGGCTGTGCCTGTGGCATGAGAACGGGAACTGGGGTTCCTGGGCTCTGCTGGCGCCTGGGCTTCATGGGGGCCAAAGGTGGCTGCTCCGCTGGGCAGAGGGCTGTGTGGGCCCTTGTGGGGTCACCTTCCTGTCAGAGCCCAAGGGACGGTGGGACAGAGTTGCCCCCGTGCCGAGGGAGCCCACCGCCATCCCCCCTGGGCTGGCGCTGCGGCTGCACATCCTGCCTGTTGCCTGCTGACTTGCTTGTGTCTTCTGTTTGGCCACAGGCCTGCGTTCCTGGGCTGGTGGCCACAGAGCTGATACTGGGGTTTGAGTTCCAGACTGGGTGGACCCTGGAATCCACTTACTCCTCGGCGCTACAGCCGCTGTGCTTCCAGAGGTGGCACGATGCCGCCTGGGGCCACCGCTGGGTGAAGGAGGGCAAGCCGACGTACCATTGTTGGATGTATTTTTTTAAACAGCAATAATTAGCCATTTTAAAGAAGGGGTATACCTGTGTGTGTGCATGTGTTTGAGCATGTGTGCATATGTGTGAGCATGTGTGCAAGTGTATTCTTGCACGTGTGGTGTGAGCATGTGTGCATTGTGAGCATGTGCATGTGCATGAGTGTGAGCATGTATACATGCTTAAGCATGGACATGTGAGCATGCATGTGTGAGTGCACACGTATGGGCATACATGTTCATGTGTTGTGTACACGTGTGAACATGCACGTGTGGATGTACGTGTGTGGGTGTGTATGCATGAGTATACGTGTGTGTGTTCTTGGGTATGAATGAGCATGTATGTGTGTGAATTCACATGTGTATGAATGTGTGTACAAATGTACGTATGAATGTACATCTGTATATGTACGTGTGTATGAATGTACATGTGTATGAATGTACGTGTGTATGGATGTACATGTGTATGGATGTACACATGAGCATGCACGTGTGTATGAATGTACATGTGAATGTACATGTGTACACATGCGTGTATGAGTGTACATGTGTATGAATACGTGTGTATGGACGTATACATGTATGAATGTATGTGTATGGATGTATGTGTGTGCGCATGAGCATGCATGTGTGTACGTGTATGAATGTACGTGTATGAATGCACGTGTATATGAATGTATTATGAATGTATGTGTGTATGAATGCACGTGTGTATGAATGTATGTGTGTACACGAGCATGCACGTGTGTATGTGTACGTGTGTATGCATGAGCATGGATGCCTCTGTGATGCAGGTGTTCTTGTGTACTCTGAGGGGCATGTGTGTGAATGAGTGTGTACACATGCATAGAGTGTACGTGTGTACTCGTGTGTGAGCATGTATGTACTCGTGTATGTGTGGGCGTGTATGTATGTATGTGTGTGTTCTGGTGTGTGGGTGAGCATGCACATGTGCATGGATGTAGGTGTGAGCTGTACAGAGTATGTGTGTTCCATGAGCATGCGGTGTGTATGAGTGTCTGTGTGTGTACTTGCATATATGTGGCTGTGCAGGTACCAGTGGTGGGGGCTGGCAGTGCCTGGGGAAGCAGGTTCCTCCCCACCGCTTCCCTGCTGGGCCCCCAGCCCCAGGCCGAGCCTCCCTGGCCCCCTTGCCTCTCAGTGGGGCAGGGCCTCGGTGGAGGGCCTGAGCAGCTCCAGGGCAGGTCCAGGGAGGCCAGGCTGGGGGAGCACAGGGGTGGGGTTCACCTGCTGCTGTTCGTTCCCGAAACTGTACTGTGAGCCCACGGCGGGGGCAGACTGTCCTGAGGCCCCAGATGTGCCAAAACAGCCCCCAGGGTGGGGGCGAGCAAGTTCTGAGGAGAGGGGCTGCGGGGGCCTGGGATGGGTGTGCACCCCTCCCCTGAATGGCTCCCAATGCTGCTGTTTTTCAATAAAACCAGAGTTGAAGGCACCTGGCTCCCGTGCTCTCTTGGGGTGCTTACTGCCCACTTGTGGCAGGACTGGCTTTCGGGGAGGTGGGCCCCCACCGCCTTCCCCTTCTCCCCTGGCCACCCCCTTTCCTCACTTTGGCTCCCCTATACCTGGCCAGGCTGCCCCATAGCCAGCACTGCAGCCTGGAGGGAGTGTGATCCGGGAGGCGAGGTGGGGGTGGCGGTGACCCCATTGCTGAGGCTCCACCCCAGCAGGCACCCAGCAGGAACCCAGCTGGGTGGGCTCTGCCCATTCACTCTCACACCCAGGATCCCTTGAGGAGCTCATGGGCCCTGCTCTCACCCAGCTCTGTGCTGGGACCCTAGGCACCCTAACACCTGGCAGACAGCTTGGCGCCCAGCCCCCACCCCATCCTTGCCACCCTAGTGGGACCCCTGGCCAGGCCCTGCTGCCCTGTCCTCCTGGCCCTGGGGTCTGGGTGCCATCAGGGTGTCGGACCCCTCCTGCATCTGGGGTTCCCAGTTCCCGTGGTTATGTCCATCCTTGCCCTGGCAGCCCCAGCAGCTGCCTGCCCGCCTGGCCCCTCCCTTGGAGGCACAGTGGTGCCAAGGGAGGGTGTGAGGTGAGTGGACATCAGAGCCCACCAGGATGAGGGTGACTCCCAGTGTTTGTGAGGGAGGATGCCAGGTCTGGGGTCCAGGCTGAGAGTGCTGCAGTCCAGGGCCTTGGTGGGGAGCAGGGTGTGTGTGGGGGGTCTCACAGCCAGTGAGGCATGGGGTGGACACAGATCCCTGCCCTGGCAGGTGCCTGTCAGGATGCCAGTCTTGTTGGCAGAGGGAATCCTGGAGTCGAGGGATCTCCCAACTGTACTGCCCAGTCCCCTGGGCCACTTTCCTGGTAGGGGTTTCCATGGCCCCGCTTCCGCCTTCTCCACCCTCTGCACCCCCGCTGCCAGGCCCTCTGGCCAGGAGCCTGGAGGAACCTGAGGCTGCGAGCTTCTTCCCAATGGCAGGGCTGCCCCTCGGCCTGGAGGACTATGCAGCCTTGGCCTGGGCTCAGCAAAGCCCATCTGGGGCATCCTGCTGAAACTGCGGCAGGACGGAAGGCTTGCGTGCAGCGGCTGCATCAGGCCTGGTGGGGCTCAGAGTGCTGCCACAGAACGCAGGCAGGGGCAGCACTGCCCTAGTAGGAGGCCCCAGCAGAGGCTCTGAGCAGCTCCCTGGATCACTGGGATGTCCCATCACACTGGGGCAGGCCCGGCCATCCAGGACAGACACATGTGGGAGGCCATGAAAATGTTTTTGAAGCTAAGAGAAAACCAAGCTGTCTGGGGCAGTGTGGATGTCTTCTTCCTGGGGAGAAACTGGCTCCAAATGCTTCCTTGAGTCACAGGATGGGCACCTGGCTCCCCCCATGGGGTCAGGAAGCTCCAAGAGGGGCGAGGCCGGCGTGGCAGAGCACCAGGACTGGGATCTGACCCAGCTGTCCCCACCTCCCCAGCACCGCACACACACTACCCGGTGAATGCTGCATAATCAGAGGGCAGAGGGAACAGACTTCTAGCACCCTCAGACCACATTGGTGATGTCCTGGGCACAGTCTATTGTGATGACCCAGGTTCCCCAGAAAAGACAACCCATGTCCAGTGGGCACAGGGAAGCCGTGTGGGTGACACAGTCCCTATTTAAAAGAGGGCAGGTGTGGCACACACAATGGGAGAGGGGAGGCCACTGCTCAAACCCACAGCACCACCTGCACCTCACACGCTCACCCCCGGCCTCCTGCAGTGGTACCAGGTGTCCCCGCGAGCAGATGGCACCTTGAGGATGAGCCTGAGTGCTGGCTGCTCTGTGGGTGGCAGCCAGAGGCGAGCAACCCTGAAGGGTGCTGGGGGCCCTACACCCCACTTCAAGGGAGGCTCTTGGAGCCCAGACCCAGACTTGGGTAAGGAAGTACATGGGAGGGGCTGAGGCACCCAGGGGTGGGGTGGCCTGAAAGCAGGACCCCGGGAGCACCTTTCCAGGGACCACCTTAGAGACAGGGAGCCATGGTACCAGGTGGGATGCAGCTGAAATCCTAGCTGGCACACTTTGAGCTCTGTGACCTTTAGTGCCTCAGTTTCCCCACATGCAAAGGGGGGATGGTGCTGGTGCCTCTGTCGCAGGCTGCTGTGAGGCGGAGGAGAGTCACAGGTGTCCTGCTGGGCTGGCAGCAAGGCCACGGGAGAGTCTGGAGGGCGGCTGGGAATGCTGGCTCTCTGGGGGGAGCCAGCCTATTTACAGCCACTGGTCACCAGCCTGCAGGAGGCTCAAGGGAGAGACCTCATGGCCTAAGCGCGTGTGACCCCAGGCCCTTGAAGGTCCTCGGTGGCCCCAGGCCGCAGCCCTGGCAGAGGCCTGCAATGGGTGGGCAGGCCTTCTCATAGAGTGGCCCTGTGGTCCTCCTGAGGCATCAGTCAGGAACATGAACCCCAGGGGCCTCAGTGCCTGCTGGCAGGCTGTGTTCTCTTGGTCTCAGTACAGGGCTGCACGCTGGGCCGGCCTGGGAGCACCCTGGGCAGTGGCTTCCTGAAGTGAAGGGAACCAGTGGGGGCACACCACAGGCATCAGAGCTGGTGGCTCCTTGGGCACCGGCCAGGGGTGAGCAGCTGCTGAGCTACGAGGAAGCCCCTCCCCTGAAATCCATGAGAGAGGGAGCCGGGACTCCACCCTCCCTGGAGTGTCTGGCCCAGACCCAGCCTTGGTCACTCCCAATTTGGGGCACTCAGCCCTGCCCTGACCAAGTGGCTGGGGGTTGTGGACACAGCACTTCCCGCTTACAGCAACAATTCACTTAAACAGGGATGAAGAGAGCTTTGCACAGGCATTTACTCCAGGGGACAACGGGCCACCCCCAGCCCCAAAGGGTTAATGCATCCTGGAGCGGCCTGGCATGCAGAGCTGGTGACCTTGGGGGAGGCCACACAATGCGCTGCTGGAAACCAGTTCTTTCCTCCCCCTGTTGCCTGGGGCTACAGACAAAATGAAGGCAAAAAATGCGGGGGCGGGGGCGGGTGTTGTCGGGGGTGGGGGTAGGGGGGACCCGGAGGTAGCCAAGCTGTTGCTGGGAGACTCAGTGCGACTTGGTCCTAGTGAGGGCCCCAGGCCTCCTGCAGTGGCACCAGGTGTCCCCACGAACGGCCGGCACTCAGGCTCACCTTGAGGGGTACCTGTGGGTGGCAGGCAGAGGTGAGCTCCAGGCCTGGGCCAGCCATCCCCAGCCACCTCCCAGACCCCATGCAGGGGGACCCCACCTGCAGCCCACAGGTGTACGTGATCAGCCACAGGCACACGTGTGCATACACGTGCACAGTAACAGGCTTAGGCCACATCCACCTCCCAGTCATGACACCTTGATCTTGGCGGAGGTTCCCCATTTGCCAGGGCCTCTGTGCCAGTGGGCAGGCTGCGGCCGGCAGACAAGCTGCCCTTGGGCGGGTGGGTGTGTTCTGGGGCATCCCATGCCTGCCCCTCAGGGTCCTTCCCCGGGAGGATCGGTGGCTCCCAGAGGCCAAGAGAGCCCTCCCCAGGGTCCCTGACCCTGTGTGGACCAAGCCTCCACCACTCCCTCTTGACAGGGCTGGAGGGGTCCAGCCTTGCTGCCGTCCCTGTTCACTGAAGTGAGCAGAGTTGGGTGGGGCTTACTGGGTTTCAGGGACTGCCCAGCCCCCACTGCTGGGCCTGCTGCGGACCAGCCATCTCACCGCTGCAGGGGCCATCTCGGGCTGGGGCTGCACCCTGTGGCCTGGCTCTTCTGCCCTGGGGTGCAGGCCTCCCTCACTTTGGGCTCTTCGAGACCTGGCAGGGCTGGGTGTCCCCTCACCTGAAGCTGCAGCTCCAACACCTGCACCTGCTCCAAGGACTCCATGGTCCTCCTGACGAGAGCTAGAGCACGGGAGAAAAAGGTGGCCCGCTGGTCTCTTGGCCTTGGGGAACTTCCAGGCCCGAGTCCTGCCCCAGCCCCCAAGCCCCCTTTTTTCCTGTGTCCACTTGGTCACCTGAACCAGCCGTGGGGCCTCAATGCCCACAAGTAGCCCCTGTGTGCCCCACTCCTGAGGCTGGGTCCAGCTTCCCCGGCCCCGTCCACAGTCCAGGATGCCTCTCACAGACCCCCTGGACTGGCCTGCCATGCTGCACTGGCCCTCACCCCACCCCTTGGGGTCAGCTTGCCCCAGCTGGGGGCCGTGGGGTGGGACAGGTGTCATGCCAGCTCTGTTCCAGAAGCTCTGGGGCTGGAAGGAGGGGGAGACACAGGTAGCCCCCACCAGCCAGAGCCACCAGGCCTGCAGGAAGCCCATCCCCACTACTGCTGGGTGAAGTTTGATGCAATCGTGGCTTTGTGCCACGGGTGGGCTGGCCCCATTGTGGGGACCTAGGTCACTGTGCAGCACTGGGGCTCAGAGCCCTGAGAAAGGGAAGGCCTGGGCAGGGATGGGGGGCAGGACTCACAAGCTCAGGCTTTCTCTGGGCTCACTCTGAATCCTCGGGCCCGTGGATAAACATTCGTTTAGTCCTTTTGGGCTGTGTGACACCGCAATGCAAAGGCGGTGGCAGGAGCCACGAGCCGTGGTGGGCGCTGCCTCACTTTCCAGCCCTCCTGGCCCCAGCAGAGCCGGAGCCTCCCTGGGGACCTGTGCCTGGTGTGTTGTGAGCAGGGCTCGTGGCTGCCTGCACTCTGTGGCCCTCAGTGTCCTCTGTGAAGGAGCAGGTCACTGTCTGCAGGGAGCTGTCGGCCAGCAGGTGGGCACGCGGGCTGTGTGCATGGTGGGGAGCCCTGCAGAGGGCCCCCAGCCATCCTGGGGAGCTTGTTATGGGGGCAAGGCTGGAGAGGTGGCCTAGTCCAAACTGGATGGTTGGCTACCCATGCTGGCTGGAGCTACCCTGGGTGTGCAGAGAACGGGCTCCTCCTCTGTACCTGGTGGGGTGGTGCTGGTGTGATCCCCAGCAACTGCTGCTCAGAGAGGGGCAGCAAGTGTGGGGCTGGGCTGGCACTCAGCTGGGGCGCTCCCTATGGGGCCCTTGGGAGGGCAGGCAGGGCAGAGACACCAGGCGCTAGACACCGCCTGGGAGGCAGGACCTGACTCCCACCCTTCAGGGATAGTGCAGGCCCCACCCAACCTGATTCCCCAGGCCCTGCAGTCCCTGGCCCCGAGTGCTCTTGAGAGAGCAGGGCGCGGGCTGCCGCCTGCCTCAGGAGCTGCCAGGCCAGCTGGAGGAAGCTGCTCCCAGGAACAAGGCCATTTGGGAACGTTTTCTTTCCTTTTTTAACCTATAGCTGAGCACACGTTATACTTGTTAAATGGTCACGTAAGATGGGTGTGTTTTCAAATGAGTTGCTGGACATAGTTTTCAAGTGGCAGAGCCCTGCTTTAGGATGGAGCAGGATGGGTGAGCACCGGGGATGGGAGCCTCACACCCCTAAGGGTAAGAACTGGAGAGGGTGGGGCTAGGAGGGCATGGTGACTGCCCCCCGGGAATTGGTGCCCGAAGCTTCCAGACCTGATGCCCCCTGTGCCTCTTCTCCCAACCCGTGAAGCTGCCCCAGCCGGTTACAGACCTGGCCTGGAGAGCCAGGGGCACAGCTCCACGTGGGCACCTGCTCTCCCATCTCACCCATGAGGCCACAATGGGAGCCTCCATGGGACCAGTGGCTAGGTGTTGTGGGGAGGTCCTGGCCCTCCCTAGGGAGAGAGAGATCCCTGGCTTCAAAGAACCCCTTGGGCTGATGGCTGGGGGTGACTCTGCCTGAGCTCACTCACCTGTGGGCCATGTAGCTCAGCAGAGAGGGGTGGCCTGTGGGGCAGGATGGGACCCAGGCCTGAGGAGCCTGGGGAACCTCAGGGACTCCAACACCCCAACAAGAACAGCTGCTGCCAGCTCTGCAGCCTGGTCCCCAGTCAGCCTGGGTGGTACCAGTGCCCACTCCCCACCTTTCCAGACCCCAAAGACATGGAGGCCTTGGGTGTCTGCAGCTGCTCTCCGGAGCTCCAGTCAGCTAGAGCACCCGGTGATCTCGGGGAGGGTGGTGGCCCAGGCTGGAGCCCACTTAGGCCTTTCAAGGGTCCCCACACCCAGGCTGGCCCCTCTGCCTGCCAGGACCCAGGTGACACAGCAGCACGAGGCAGAGCAGGTGCCGTAAAAGGGCTGACAGCCGGGAGGGCTTTCCTGGGTTTTGCCATGGGCCATGGAGCTTCCCCTTAGCCGTTTGTGAAGTCCAGGCAACCCTGTGCTGCCCCGGGCTACCTGCACACTCCGGGATCTGCGAGTCTTCCACTTCAAACAGCAGCTCGTCATGGATCTGGGCCACCAGCCTGGCAAGGAGGGAGAGAGTCACCCTGGGAGGCCAGGACTCTGGGGCGGGGGACCATCCCCAAGGTTTCTGAAAGGGGACTCTGGCACTGGGGCCCGAGAGTACGTGGCTCTTTGAGGCACAGCCAGGGGGACCCAGCTCAGGGGTACCACTGCCTGAGGCCACCCACTGTCACCAGGACAGCTCTGGGAAGCTGGGGGAAGGGGCGATAGGGAGACAGGCTGGTCAGAAGTGACTCTGGTCATCGGCGAGGAAGCAGGTGGCATGCCCAGCAGGAGAGGCTGGGCGCCCCACGTCTGCCACACCCAGGCAGGTCCCATGGGGGTGAGCAATTCATGTTCTGAACAAGGATGGAGAAACAGCCCCTTGAGAACTGCTGTGGGGCCCTGACTCGGCCAAGCCTCATGAACATCAACCTGGCTTCCTTCGCCCTCAGGGCCTCTCAGAGAGGCTGGGTACTCATTCCCAGCCCCTGCACTGGGGCCTTGCTCTGGGGTTCGTCCTGCCAGCCCTAGCCAGGCCCCAGCTTTCCCCAGCCTCCTTCCTGGAGCCCCTCAGGTGCCCCTCCCAGGGTGTCAGGGAGACAAGTGGGACCCGAGTGGGAGGAGATTCAGGTGAAATGCAGGGCGGGTCCCTGGGGTGGGGCTTACAGATTCAAACTCAAGTGCAAGTGCGTACCAGGCAGACGGATCATGGGCTCACGGTTGCGCCGCGCCGGCCACACAGACCCCGCCAGGGCTGGATTCGGCCAGTGCTCTTCGGCTCCACACACTCCTTGCAAACTGGTGACACACACCTTGGGCAGATGATGCCTCAAATCTTGGTGATGTGCCAGACTCAGGGTGGACACAGGCAGCTCACCTTGTGCCCTCAGGAGGGGACGTGCAGTGCGGGTGACTCACAGGATGAGCTGCTGGGAAGGATGGGGTGTCAAGGGGTCCCATGCGCTCTGTCCTCTGTGGGACCTTGGCTCTGTCCTCTGGATCGAGCCTTCAGGGGCAGGGGTCACATCCTATCCTTGCCCTTGCTGCCCATCCTTGGCAGGCACAGATGGGGGCACAGAAGGCCCAGGGCCCTAAGGAGCTGGGCTGCACGGGAGCCCTCGCCGGGCAGTGGTCACGGGCACATGACAGAGATCAACTGGGATTCGGGACAGCCTTCAAGCCCCAGGGTACAGGTGGGCTGTGCTTTCACTGTCCGCAGGACATGTGGACTTTGCAGCAGAGTTTCAGGTGACCTGCCCCAGTCTGCTCTTCCGCACTTCCTTCATGTTGGCCCCTTTGTTGCTGGGTGGGTGGGGTGGAGGTGGGGCTGTGTCCTCAGCTACAAAGGACATTTCCCTGGCTCTGTCTCAGGCAGGGTGGCCCAGGACTATTCCCTTCAGCTTTCAAGGAGGCTATTATTATTTTTTCCCTTAGCAGGGAGGGAGGTAAGGAGTGGGATGGAAAAGGAGATTCCAGCAAAGCTCTTAAAAGGTAAGGCTCTTTAAAATGCTGACTTTGAAGGGCTGCCAGGGACAGATGCTCTTCTGACCGTTACCATTTTCTCTTTTTGTCTGGAAGGTGTGATGGCTGGAGCAGCAACCTCCATCATAGCACCAGGAGGGAATGGCCAAGGAGCCAGAGGGACTTCGGTCCTGCTGCTCTGAGCCTCTGAAACAAAGTCAGCAACCGCTGTTCTCTGGAGTTCTCATGATGGGAGAAAAAGCTGCCTTCTGGAGCCTGAGCTACTGGAGCTTGGGCCTGTGTCCCTGATGGCCACGTGCACATCCTCGTGGTGTACATCTATAGGACACTACGAGGCCCCAGTCCACCCACGGTACGGTGGTGCTCACGTCCTCGTGCAGCCTGGCCCAGGGAGGGAAGGTGGGCCTGTGCTTTATGTGCAGCCTCTGGCCAGGGAACGTGGGCAATGCCCTTCCAGAAGTCAGAGGGGCAAGAGAGCCCAGGCTGTCAGCACCAGCAAGCTTTTCTTACAGTAACTTCAAGGCCTCAGGTAGAAGTCTTTGGCTCTCAAGAGGACTTACTTTTCAAATGGGCAGAAGCGTCAGAAAAGGCACTTGTAACTTTTTCCAGATTTAGCAGAAGCGGTTTTCACACTTCTTGAAATTACATTGTGAAATTCCAAGCTGCTGGTGTGGCAGGAACCTAAGAATAGGTGTAGTTGTCAGTCACACATCATTCTCGCAGCCACTGAGACATGACCGCACTTCCAGCTGGGAAATAGGGCGCAGGAAGAAGAAGAAGAAGGACGGCCGTTGTCTTTGTGTGGGGTGGGTGAATGCAGGGCCTCGGATCTGTTGTGTTCCGGAAGGGAGCAGACCTCTGCTGCAACTTCTCACCCCTGCTCCTGAGGGGTCGGCCCACAGAGCTGCCATGTCCTGCATCTGGACGGCCTAACTGAGATCACTGCACCAGTAGGAGAACGTTCCAGAAGAGCCTCACAATATCACCCTGTCTAGGGCCTGCAGCTCCCTTGCAAGGGATGCCCCCAGCCCTGCTGAGCTGCTTTGAGGACTCATCCTGAGAGTACTGAGGCCTAGTGGCCCCGTGCCGACCCGCCTTGAGAAGGCCCGGGGGAGGGAGCACAGGAGCACGCACACTTTCTGAAACCCAGGAAGGCCTTTTCATAAAGGGCCTGCGTCAGAACAGACCGGAGAGCCAAGCCACCGGCACAGAGGCCTGTGAACGCCGGCTGCCAGCCTCCTGCTCTCGGCCCAACCTCTCCAGTCTTTGCAGGATATGGACCGAGAGGCGTGAAGGAACGCCATTTCCCTGTCACAGGGACTGTGGGTGTGAATGGGGACTGTCCTGCGGCCCCAGCCCACCTGGGTAGACCCCTGGGGTGGCCAGATGAGGCTCTGGGGGCACCGTGTGCTTCCCAGTGGTCAAGTTTCACGCCTGCCACTTCAGCCAGATGCCAGGCCACCCTGAGCCTTCATCGTCCCTTCCAGATGCCATCCACAGCCTTTCACATTAGTCCTGGAAGAAGAAATCACATACACAAAACGCAGACGGCAGCATGCCCAATATTCCACATAGGTCTGCTTTGCATTTTGCTATGAGAAGCGTTTCCTCAAGACAGCTGAGGGCTGACAGAAAGATGACCAGCCGGTGACCAGCTCCTGAGTAAGAAGTGTCTGTTCAGCTTTCAGAAGGGCTCAGCCAGCAACAGAGAGATCCAGCTCCTCACATGCCAACTTCCGGTACCAGTTCTACAAGGGCTGAAAGGGAACCGACTTGTTCTTGTTTTGAGGTAGGGTCTTGCTCTGTTGCCCAGGTTGGAGTGCAATGGTGTGATTATGGCTCACTGCGGCCTCGACCTTCCAGGCTCAGGTGATCCTCCCACTTCAGCCTCCTGAGTAGCTGGGACTACAGGTGTGCACCACTATGGCCGACTTTTTTTTTTTTTTGAGAGATGAGTTTCACTATGTTGCCCAGGCAACAAATATGTTGGTCACAAACTCCTGAGCTCAAGTGATCCATCTGCCTCGGCCTCCCAGAGTGCTGGGATTACAGGCGTGAGCCACCGCGCCGGCTGAGTGGATCTTCTGATGCCCCACTCCTGCCTCCTGATCAGTTACTGCAGCGAGCAGCACTGACAGCCACAGTGAGGCTGCGAGCAGAGCCTGGGGCAGTGCTCAGACCCTGTGGGGCCTCAGGCATCCTCCTTCCCTGGGATGACAGCTTGGGCTTTGGCCTCCTTCTGGGCTTCTTTTCCCTGGAGCTTTAGGGTGACTGTGGGCCAGAGGGAGTACCTAGAAAGGCTGCAAGGGGAGGAGCCCTCTGGGCTTCAGTGGGCTTAGGGACTACCCCCTGCTCTCCATTGTTGGGCATCACACCTCAGCCTGGGCAGGGTCAGTGGTGGGGACACACTTCTGCACAAAGTCGCTGAAATCCCTGGAAGAGCACAGGCTTGACAGCCAGCAACAGAAGGGAGTTACTGAAGACACAAGGAGGCTGCTTTTAAACAGAGACGAGAGATCTCTGATAAGGCAAAAAAATCATGCCTTGAGAATGTAAAATAATATCAAAAGTCAAAAGAAAGTTGTAAGCTCAGATGGCAAAGAGCGACCACAGGTAGGCAGGATCTGCAACCCAAAGGCGGGGTTGGGCACACCAGGGAGGCCCGGGCCACACCTTTTTTTTTTTTTTTTTTTTTTTGAGACGGAGTTTCGCTCTTGTTACCCAGGCTGGAGTGCAATGGCGCGATCTCGGCTCACCACAACCTCCGCCTCCAGGCAATTCTCCTGCCTCAGCCTCCTGAGTAGCTGGGATTACAGGCACGTGCCACCATGCCCAGCTAATTTTTTGTATTTTTAGTAGAGACGGGGTTTCACCATGTTGACCAGGATGGTCTCGATCTCTTGACCTCGTGATCCACCCACCTCAGCCTCCCAAAGTGCTGGTATTACAGGCTTGAGCCACCGCGCCCGGCCAGGGCCACATCTTATACTCCAGAAGCCGCTGCCTCAACCCTCCCTGGGCCCCCTCCTGGATGCGGCGGCAGTGGCAGTTGCACCTGGTCTGCAGAGGCTGTCCGAGAGGGGCTGGCGCCAAGAGCTAGAGGGCCCTTAGGGTGGGGTAGGAAAACATCCATGGTGGGACAGAGGGCAACAGGCCCTTCTGGGAGCTGACATTGTGGGGGCTGAGGCAGGTTAGCTCCCGGGAGGGGCTTCGAGATTCCTGAGGCGATCCCCCCACAAGGAGAACGAGGAGAGGAGGTGTCTGGGTGGCCACATGCAGCACTCCCAGGGCCTTGGCTGGCAGGGAGGAGGTGGCTGGGCAAGGGCTGCTTGTTCCCTGGCTACCCAAGCTCCTGAGGTATGTGCCTGGGGGAATCACTGAGGCAGGGACAGAGGCCTGAGAGAGCTATGGCCTGGGGGACAGCCACAGTGGAGCCCCCACCACTGAGGCACATCTGAATGTTGGCTTGGGGCTCCGGGCTTCAGCCAGAGCTGGATGTGGGGCACCACTGCCTGGCACTGGTGGCAGCAACGGGTAGGAGTGGGGGCAGTTTGGAGCCCCCAGGGTCCTGCCCAAGGGTCTGAGGTGTTCGCCTGTCTGTGGGGTGGGCAACCCTTGGGGCGTGGGGGAGACAGCATTTCTGTCTGTGGAGGGGAGGCCTCATCTGCGCCCCACGCTGGTGGTCGGCCGCTGTTTCCTGCATGCCTGCTGTGAGTAGCCCCCAGGGCCTTCCATGGGCTGAGAGCCTCTGGAGGGGATGGGGCCCTTGGAGCAGAGGTGGTGGGCAGCCGGAATCTCGAGCTCCCAGAGGGTTTTCCCACAGAACACCAACCCTCCCATCCAAGCCCGGAGAAGGGCTGAGGCCCAGGCAGGCCAACTGCTACCCACTGACCTGGCCGTCAAGGTGCGGGAAGCGGCCACTGCAGCGAAGACACGGATCATGGCCAGCTTGCAGAGGTCAGCGGCGGAGCCTGTGGGGCACGCGGTGCGTGGTGCACTCAGCATTTGGCAGTGTTGCTGCAGCTCTCACGGCGCCTCCACATAGAGTTGCAGACTCTGAGCTGTCTGAGTGCCGAGACCACAGGCAACCGCAGGTAGCCACCTCGTCCTCACTCCTCCTGCCCTCTTGCTATACAGGGCACCTGGGTTTTGGGTGCCTTATTCCCAGAAGCCTCACCCCTGCCAGGCATGCATGGGGAGGATGGAAGAGCCTAGGCCAAGCGCCAAGGGACTGAGCTCCAGGTCTGCTAAACTCTTAAAGCCTCAGTTTCCCACCTGCAGCTATGTGGAACAGCACAACCTAGGCCTGGCTCTTGGGGGAGGCATCCTAGCTACAAAGGTGACCATGTCCCCTCACGCCCCTGACAGTAACTGCCAGGCAGGACACAGGCAGCACAAGCTCCTGCAGGGAGGTTTGTGAGGAGCAGGAAATACCACAATGACCTGTGAGTGCCACCCAGCCCTGCGGCTGCAAACCCAAGAAGCAAATGGACACAGAACTACAGGGTGGGAGGTTCCTGGTACCTTGCACCACGAAGTTCACTGCCTGTCGCTCTGCTTGTGACCGGAGTTGCTGGTCACGAGCACGAATCCTCGGCAGGGGTCTCCTTCTGCCCATGATGGACACCATATAACCTGGGTCACACAGAGCAAAAGCAGATGAGAGACAGAAACAGGCGCCACAGCAGGTGCACCTCCCTTGGGCCAGGTCCAGAGGCCCCAGAGGGACAGCTGCACTGCAGTGAAGACTCCGAGCCTCCCCCAGGCCCTTTGGGTCTATCTCGGTGGCAGGTGGGCTCTGCAGTAGGAAAGCGAGGGTCTGCTGCTGGGCGCTCTGCACTTTTTTTTTTTTTGAGACAGAGTGAGACTCTGTCACCAAGGCTGGAGTGCAGTGGTGCAATCTCGGCTCAATGCAGCTTCCTCCTTTTGGGTTCAAGCAATTCTCCTGCCTCAGCCTATTGAGTAGCTGGGATTACATGTGCCTGCCACCATGCCCAGCTAATTTTTGGTATTTTTAGTAGAGATGGGGTTTCACCAAGTTGGCCAGGCCAGTCTCGAACTCCTGACCTCAGGTAATACACCTGCCTCAGCCTCCCAAAGCTCTGGGATTCCAGTGGGGAGCCACTTGCCCCTGGCTGCACTCTGCACTCTCAGTTCTGCATTCTCCTGACTTCTAGCTGCACCTGGATCTCACGTAGGATGAGGGAGAGCACCTTTCGCAAAGCCATGTGGAGGCTGTGGACTGTGTGGAATGGGGGAGAAAGGGGTCAGCCCACACCCTCAAGGAGGAGGATGTCTGAGTCAGGTCTACACCCTGCACTGGGCAGATCCAATCTTGTGCGGCCTGAAGTGTATGCAATTTGGGGGCTCTTTTTAAAGGAAATCGTGTTAGCTGACTATATTCCTGACCAGTGAGGACTTCTGGTTTAACTAGGTATTGGTGGGAAATAAATCCCCCCCTTGTGACTAAGGGCAAGAAGAATTTCCCACATGTGTAATAATCATGAAAGTGACAAGGGACTGACTGGCTACTACATGCCAGGCAATAAACAAGATTCCTAAGAGGGACTGGCAGTGAGGACACGAGAGAGCCTCTGCTCTGACTTGTCCCTTTCAGCTCCTGCTGGCTTATCAGTCTAGCGACTTTTGACCGGATGCTGGGCATTGTGAATTTTATGTTGTTGAATGCTGGGGTATACTGTCTTCCTTTTGAGGATGTTTTGGCAGACTTAAGTTACTTGCCAATCATCTCAATCCTTTTGCAGCTTGCTTCTAAGCTTTGTTAGAGTGGATTTAGAATAGTTGTAATCTAGGGCTAGTCTAGACCTGCCTCTAAAGTGTGACCCTTCTGAGGTCTCTGTTGAATGCCCCAGGTGTCTAACAAGGACTCCCCACACTGGATGGTCAGAACTCAAACATCTCCTAGTCCCGTGTTAACTCTGGAATCACCCAGCTTACTGCTCCCCAGCAGTTTCTGTGCTTAGTCCATAGCATTTCACTTGATGTATGTGTATCTTAGTGTTCAAACACAGACACAAAGGGAATTCCCTGATGGTTTACGAAGCTCTCTCTCTCCCTCTCTGTAGCTCCCTCTTCTCTGACACTCTGGCTGGCAAAATCCAGCTGCATCTGCCTCTCCAGTCTGGGTCCACGTCTCCTCCACTCATCGAGACCACTGCAGTCTGTGTGGTCCCCTCCACACATGGGCTGTACCTCCAGACACAAGGTGTTCATGGGACTCAGCTCATTTGGGTCTTTTGTCTCAGAGACCAGAGCAATACCCTACCCCCCATCTAGTGCTGGAAACGGCTGCTCTAGATGTTTTGCCGTTTTCTGGTTCTTCATGGTGGGTGCAGAGTCTGAAGCTGATGACTCCCTTGTGGCCAAAGGCAGAAGTCTCCTGGTTCCATTCACATCAGACCTCATTTCTTCTTCACTCAGCGCCTCCAGTGCAAGTGCCTGTAGTTCCTGTTCATACTCGAGATGCCCTCTGGCCCTGGCCCTCTGTGGTGGTACTGGCATGGCACCGATGCTCCTGGAAGCCACTCCTGTGCCAGGATGGCTAGCACCACACCACACACAGAGAAAGAGGGACCACAGGAACATCAGCAGGAAAAATCTGCATTAAATGAGTTGCCAGCTCAACTGGCTGTGGCCCCACTGATGCCACCTGGCATAGAAAGGTGGGTGGTGGAGAAAGCTGGAGCACTGGGGGCAGCAGTCCCAGCAGGATGTAGTTAAAAACCCCTTGTTTGGTCGGGCGTGGTGGCTCATGCCTGTAATCCAAGCACTTTGGAGGCCAAGGCAGGTGGATCACCTGAGGTCGGGAATTCAAGACCAGCCTGACCAACATGGTGAAACACCGTCTTTATAAAAAAATTTTTTAAAAAACCCCTTGCTTTTGACACGTTTATGAAATGCAGAAGGACGTGAGCACATTGCAGGCCTCTCCCAGGGCCTTGGGGAGGCCAGCATCATAGTCAGCATTAGCCGGGGCAGGCCAAGTGCCCTGTGGAGAGCAGTGACCCCTGAGGGCTTGGCCCCTTCATGCTGGTGGCCAGAGAGGCATCTGAGATCCCAGCTGGCTCCTGAGCTGTTGATGACTTCTTGACATCTTACCTGCCATTCTCCCTCTGCCCCTCCTCAGTTACTATGTTAATGCCTGCATGCTTCTACACTGTTCTCAGGGGTGGCTCTGACTGCACCTCCAATCTCTTTCCCACATCATGACTGGAGTCATTTTTGAAGGACAAAGCTTAGGTTCTTTCTGCACAGAGTGTCATGCATGGTCTGGGTTTACCTGGCCCTACCTGTTCTCTGGCCCACCTGCCCACGCTGACACTCCTCCTGGCCCTTCCTGTCTCTGCTCAGGTGGCCAGCTCTGTGAGGCCAAGGCTGGCACAGCACCCTTGGGGCCTCTGCGGCTCCTCTGTTCCTTTCACACCTGGCCGCCACCTTCCTGTCCTTGAGCAGATGCTTGTGGATTCACTGTGTCCCCCGAGGACTGGAAACTCCGGGGGAGCACGGAGCTTACGTCTCAGATGCCGTGGAGGCTCCCCTTCTGGCCTAGCATGGGCTGTGGCACAGATGCTGCCCACCTGCCCGTCTGCTGTCAGACCAATGAGGAGCCTGCAGCTGGGCTGCCTGGAGCTCACGGGGCTTGGGTACAGGCCCCCGAATGAAAAGTCATCAGAGTCACTGGGAGAGGCTTACGGAGAGGGTCCCCAAGGCTGCACCCAGAGGACACAGGCCACGACATCTAGGATGCTGGTCCTGCTGAGGCCAGCTCTTGGCTGATTTCCTCACTTGTGGTGAGTGCTGAGTGCTGTGAGCGCCCTTCCTCTGCCGGCTAGTCATCTTCCTCTGTGTTGTTTATTAATTTCTGCTCTCCCACTGATTTCCTCCTTTTTTTCTCGGCCACTCTTTTCCAGATTTCTCATGTAGAACACAACTCATTTATGCCCACAACTTTCTCTTTCTTTTAAAAATACACCTTCAAAAGATTCCTTTATGTCTAAGTGAGGCGTCAGCTTAGCCACACCCCAGTTCCTGACAAGATATGTTTACTGTAATTTATTTCTAACATTTTTGTCATTGTCTTACGATTTCTTTTTTTAATCCTAAATTATGAGGAGTATAATCAATTTCCAAATAGGTAGATGGAAGGACGGCTACACAGACACAGACATACATATACAAAACCATTTCACTGCACTCTGGTCATGGAATATGTTCTACTTGGTATTCTCTGAAGTTCGTTTGGGTTTCCTTTGTGACCTGATTGTGATGATATTTGTAAATGCACCAGTGCTTTCCATAAGAATCCATGTTCTCCCTTTCCAGGTGCAGGCTTGCATCTGTTTTACCTGCCTGCCCATTCACCATCTGGTCACTCGAGTTTGTTCACTGTGCTGCTTCAAGCCACCCAGACTCTGGTCCCTTCTCGTGTGGAATCTTCAGCCCTATTTGTCCAACTAGAGCTGAGGATTCACTCAGCTCTAGTTCACCCCCAACCAACCTCAGGACCCAGGGCCCACCCACACACCACTCACCCAGCTGTCCCCTTATCCTTCCACAGAGGGTGAGCAGGGAGCAGGGAGCTCTGGCTGTGGCCAACTCACCTGTCCGGTGGCACTGGGCAATAGCTGCTTGGGCAAAGTCCTTGATTTTCTTGTACTTCTGCAAAAAACTCTCCAAAAACTGGGCAGCTTCCTGAACAGGAACTCCAAGGCAAGCGGCAAGCCGCTCCTTTCCTGTCAGTCAGAGAGATGAATGTCAAGGCCTTACTCAGACCAGCCGTGACCATGTGCATGGGCTCAGGGAGTCAGGTCCAGTTGGCAGCACTGGTCTCTTCTGATGAGTGGGGATGAAGTTGGCGTTGGCTTTACAAGCGGAGTGCTAGGTGCCAGTCACTCTGGACTGGGGCCTGCGACATGTGTATTTATTCCATGATATTGACTCAGTGCCTGCTGGGTGTGTCAGGTGTCATGGTGGTGAAGTAGACACGGTCCCTCCCCCCAGTGCGGCCAGGGGAGACCCAATTCCAGAACTAGGGAGGTTAGAGTGCAGCACAGAGGAAAAGAGGAAGGGAAAGTTCCATGGCCAAAGCAAGAGAACATGGTCCTCAGGAATTCAACATTTTGTTTTAGAAGACACAGGTGTTCCTGTGACGCTGCTGGTAGAAATGTCTCTGGTTGGGCCAGGCATGGTGGCTTACGCCTGTAATTCCAGCACTTTAGGAGGCTGAGGCGGGCAGATCACTTGAGATCAGGAGTTCAAGATCAGTCTGGGCAACAAAGTGAGGACTTGTTTCTATTTATTAAAAAGAAAAGAAAAGAAATAAAGGTCTTTGGCTGGGCAGCGGCTGAGTTCCAGCAAGCATGTGAGCAGGTTCAGTGACCACAGAAGCCTGGCTCTGGGCCTAGTCCCACCAGGAGGTTGTGTGTGGCCCTGGGGATGGGGATTTGCCTGACCCACAGTAAAGCCTGTTCCTTCACTGTATATTAGGACCGAGAGCCCTTATCCCCAGCTGGGAGCCCCATGAGCCAAGGTATGGGAAGCTCTAAGCAGTGTGTGGTTCCTACTTGGTACTCAATATACACTCATTCCCTCCCGTTTTCCTCCAGAAGAGAATAACGGTGTAAACAGAGAATGAGGAATCCATGAGGACATCATCCCTCGCTTGACAGTGGGATCCTAGGGAAAGCCGTGGCTCTGGGGAGGGGTGTATCATTAGAAGGAACCCCAGAGAGACAAGCAGCCTGAAGACCTGCCTTCCCGGGGGCAGCATGTCTGGGACCAGCAGTGGTCTTGCTGTCCTCTGTGCGAGGTTAACTCTGGAATTGTCCTACAGGGTGCTCCAGGGACCTCTGGACAGGATGGTGCAGAAACCATGGCCCAGGGGGTGAAGGTGTGGGGTCTGTGAAGACCAGGGATGAACCCTCTGGAGGAATGGGACCGACTGGCCTCTCTGATCTAGCCCTCCTTTCAGCCAGGCCACTCCTGGCCCTGGCCAGCTGATGGCACAGCAACTCTGGACAGAGAGAATATTCAAGTCTTGGGAGAGTGAAAGCACAGGTGTTTGCTTCCGCTGCTTTGCCAGCAAGAGTGGGAAGGCCTGGGGTGCCCTGTCCTCCCAAAGTTTACCCCAGCAGAGAGGGATAAAGTCATGATCCTTCTATGCCCAGATGGACTGACGAACTGGCACCATTTGGCTAGAAATGAAAAATCTCCAACATCCCTTTTCGGGCTTAAGACCCATTATTGTGATATCTTCACAAATAAGTTATGTGTTTTGCTGCACTTTACTGAAATAATTCATCTATGGCTCTTCTTTCTGTCAAATTCCAATCACCACACTTACCTAGTGCCTCAGCTATGGCACTGCAGTGAAAAATTCCACTGGCTCTCAGAAAGAAGTCAGCCAGATGGGACTTGCCTTGAGTATCTTCTTAGACAAATCTTTTCTTACCTCCAGTCTGCTGTTAAGCCCATATGGTGAATTTTTTTTTGAGATGGAGTCTCCTTCTGTTGCCCAGGCTGGAGTGCAGTGATGTGATCTCGGCTCACTGCAACCTCTGCCTCCTGGGTTTAAGCGATTCTCCTGCCTCAGCCTCCTGAGTAGCTGGGACTACCATGCCCGGTCAATTTTGTGTTTTTTTTT